TGCTTTCTTGAGCAGGGGGACCTTGCGGGCGCTGCAGGATTTCAGTCCTTCACGGTGTAGTGTGTTACCAATTGTTTTCTTGGTGACTATGGTCCCAGCTGCCTTGAGATCATTGACAAGATCCTCCCGTGTAGTTCTGGGCTGATTCCTCACCGTTCTCATGATCATTGCAACTCCACGAGGTGAGATCTTGCATGGATCCCCAGGCCGAGGGAGATTGACAGTTCTTTTGTGTTTCTTCCATTTGCGAATAATAGCACCAACTGTTGTCACCTTCTCACCAAGCTGCTTGGCAATGGTCTTGTAGCCCATTCCAGCCTTGTGTAGGTCTACAATCTTGTCCCTGACATCCTTGGAGAGCTCTTTGGTCTTGGCCATGGTGGAGAGTTTGGAATCTGATTGATTGATTGATTGCTTCTGTGGACAGGTGTATTTTATACAGGTAACAAGCTGAGATTAGGAGCACTCCCTTTAAGAGTGTTATTCTGTCTCTCACTATTCAAATAAACCTACCATTAAAATTATAAACTGATCATTTCTTTGTCAGTGGGCAAACGTACAAAATAAGCAGGGGATCAAATACTTTTTCCCTCACTGTATATGCATATAGGTGGTGTCACATGCTATTTTTTTGTGTTGTTTTTGGCTCGATAAAATACACAATGTTAGCCGTGGCCTGGAGTTGAACCCAGGTGGCCAGGTTCGTAGTGCAGTGCACCACCACTCCGTGATGTGAGCCAGGGTAAATAGTCAATTCTCATCAGTATCTAAAGTAATATATTGGTGTTTTCATATTGCTCCTAAGAGATAAAGGTCAATCTTTAAAATGCTGACTGCGTAAACTGCGTCTGGATCTGTGACTTTTTTTCGGTTACCATGTTTGTAAAACTATATTGCGCTCATGAAAAACATTCCACAGTCCACTTGATGCAAAGTTACGCACTCCTCACGCGCACGTTGTGCCTGTAGCCCGCGCTCTAGACGCTTCGCTCAATCTTGGTGAAGGTTCGGACCGCGCGCGGGATCAGATTGTCGCCGTGTTGGTGTTTATTATACGACACTTTTCGAAATTCAAATAGAATTTTACAGCTAGTCAATCACGAGCAACTGCTTTCCTGGAGCGTTTTTTTTAAAATGTGGGTGGTATTGTCCGCGCATCGCTGAAGTAAGACGGCCTTTTGTCGTGGCCACCCCTGTCGTCAGACGCAATTGCACGGTAAATGCATCTGTAAAAATTCGTATTGTGTGTCGGCAAACACAGCAAAATAGATTTTTTTTCTCTCTCTCATCCAGAGCATTAAGATTAACACAGTTCCTTTTGCTCTCTGGGTTAATCCGGCCAGTGTTGATACACGGTGCTCTTAGCTTATGCCAGTCTGTCGTCTTGACCGCCTGATTTCACAGACAAAATCCATCGTTATTACACCTAACGTTTTTTAAGAGGATTAAGGTATTAGCTGCTTTAGAAAAGCCGTCTAATCTTCCATTCAGTGGAGAGAAAGAGAAAAAATAGACTATTTGTTCTTTTTCATTTTTCAATTGCCCTCACGGATCAAAAGGAGGATGCTTTAAAACCTGGTGCTTTCACTCCACAATGGCCCAGGCAATGCGTGGAGCCTCAAGCCCAAACGCACATTGTGGCTCCGTAACTCACACATTCACATGTCGGACAATATTTGCGTGCGCAGCGGTGATCCGATGTGGTACAGTTGGGTCTTTGTGGCCGGTAAACAAGGCAAGGGAACATCCATTCCCGGGTGTTAACCGCCGCCGCCGCCGTCCGTCCGTCCCGGTGGTGGTGGCTAGCGAAGCGAAACAGTCGTCTTTCTCAAAAAACGACACGAAAACAAATTTGACAACAACAACAACACCTCCGTCAATAACACCGTGGCCTCGGAAGGCAAGGTGTACCGTAGGTGACGTTCCGGGCAATGGCCCTTCTTCACAGCACCGAGAAGCACAGATAGCGTCTCTGTAATATTTGGTGCTTTATAAATGTGTACGTATCGCGATAGACGAGGGTATGAATTCGTAGAAGTTTGTGCGCCTCCCAAATGGTCATCGTGGCCACATCTAGCGACGCATCCAAACTCCATGCCTTGCTCTTCACCTGGTTTTTCGAGAGCTCGTACGGATGGGTTTAAAACGCTGAATAAAGCCGATGACAACCCCCGATATCTCTAACAGATGAGGATTGGGTCACAAAAGCATAGGCTTCGGTCAGAGTCGAACGATGAATGTCAGTTGCTCACCGGTTCCGAGAAGCTGTCACAGAGTGGCTGTCGCACAGCTAGGAAGGTTGCGCGGTGGTCGGGTTCAGGGGTCAATTCAGGTCATCGTCTCTCTGGGGTTCGTGTTTCGAGTTCCACTTTGCGCAAAGTCAGCTCTCATTGTGTTGTAGATTCATCCCGGCCGTAGAAATGTCCACCACGGGTTTATGACGAGTTGACTTTCTGACGCTTGTTTGAGTTGAGGGATGTACTGAGCACAGGGATGCGAGTACGTACGTTGAACTTCTTTTGCACCATACGCAGCCAACCTTGCAAATCGGAGGTGCAGGATGTACGTTGCTTACATTTTGTTATGCAGACTCGCTTAATTATGCCAGTCGTTTTGTACAAGTGTTAAAAACTGAAAATACGAGCTGAGATATATGTTGAATTCAGATTTTTTTTTGTTTTCTGAAGATTAGAAAGATTGTCACTTTGGCCTCTGTGGAGGAGGCTGTAAACGACTCCAGTGGGTGGCTGGCTAACAGCAGTGAGCAGCAGAGTACTGCGTGACTCACACAGAGTAAGGTGGCGCCGTGGGGAGCAGAGATGGTGTATCTTCCAGTACCTTTAACACTTGAATGAATAATCGAATGTGTAATTTGCATATTCTAACTGACATGTTACTAAGACGCTTTCAATTAGTGTGGCCGCTGCAGCGGTTTAATTTGAGATGATCTCTCTTGATGCAAGCGGGCGTTGGGTGGGGCCGCGGCTCTCAATTGCAGCATCTCGAAACTTGTGAACTCTCCCAAAGCTATGAAGTCAGATCCCGCAAACGTGACGTGGAGGAACGCGCGGGACACAGACGACCCGCCACAAGGGAGATCGATTTCCCGCGATCGCTGCGATTGCACGGCGCGTGAACCACCCCAGATTCTCCCGACAGCGCCCTGCCGCCTCTCCCCCTCTCCCCCTCTACCCCCCTCGGCCAGCGTCCGCTCAAAGTCACGTATCAAGCAGCCTCCCACTTCTGCTCACCTCTGTTGGTTTAGCATCTTTCAGCTTTCATTTTAAGCTGAACGAGTAGACCCACGGTGATTGATGGATTTAAATACCATTTAATGTTATTTTTGTGGTGAAATGGACATTTTCTGACTTAGTGCTGTAAACAGGAGATGAGTGGGAAGGAGTTTGAAACCTGCCAGTTCAGATTAGTTGAAAACTCGCGTGCTGCGTTAAACACCGCTTTCATTTCACCGGCCCAGACAGTGGCCATGGGATTAGATCTTGGATTGTTCAAGAATAAAACAATGGCAAGATTTCCGTCTGTCACCAAGTTCAAATTAGTTTTAATCTATGCTGTATGAAAACCATCTCACGAGCCCTCCCGTACCAAAGACAGATAACTGCATCGTTGACTAAACTATATCACGAAAAGATGGGGGCTGAAAATAATGTCTGTGGCCCCACCAGAATTTGAGTTAAATTCCACTGGGGTAGTGGCCGTAATCTTCCCGTGGATTTGAGAAGTCGTTTAATGTGTGCGGGATCCGCCACTGGATGGCCTCCGTCGCCGTCATCAGATCGTGCCACTTGGCGAGAACTTGCTCAGGTAGGCCGCGTGGAATGTGCTCAAGCCACCGCACGGCCCTAACGCCGTTCCCGTGGCTACGATGTCTCACACGACGACAGCGGAGGTGGCGGTGGGGATGTTTCGTTGTTTTAAGGCGGACGCACGCCCGCCCGCCCACCCTGTCGGTGTACTTTGCGAGCGCATTGGTTTTGAAAAGGTTACTCTGAAAACATGGCCGGGTTTCCAAAACGCACCTACCAGCAAAGCAAAAGAGTTAATCTTCTTAACTTTGGGGAAAAAAAAGAGAGTCTGCTATTCACGAACTTAACTTGCAAAAGACAAATAATTGCCCAACATTTTTAGAGCGTTTTGCCGTGTAAGTTGTGCCATCTGAAAGAAGTGTATGTGGATTAGTCTGGTTTGTGTAATGTTTTCCTTGGTGTTAGCATCGGTGTGAGTACACTTCAACAACACTTAATTATTTTGCTTGCCACTTTAGTCAATCCACTGCCGGATGTGGGCCTCTACGTGTGAGGATAAGTTTGACCATACTTCACCTTGCTGGTCAGGGCAGGTTTTGTGAAGAAAGGAATGATCCATCGAGTTGTTGGGCGAGTCCGATTCTTCCCTTCACCATTGTGGCCCTCGGTCCCACTGCAGCAAAGCCGTCGTACGCGTCGGCGTTTCTCTCGCGCTCGGGATCCCCGCGCTCGGGATCCCCGCGCGGTGCAGCTCTCCCGTGATTACCCACAAGCGGCATCACATTCAGTGCTGGAGACTTGGTCATAGCGGCAAGGCGGGGCGATGGGGGGGGTCGTGCCGAGCACCGCAGTGTTGAGAAGCGCTGGCCTAGTTCACGGAGTTTAACTCTTTATAACCCCCCCCCCCCCAGACCTGTGTCCTGTAGGCCACACCCGGTGGTCTGCAAGTCCGTGGAAAGTGTGAGCATCGTGGACAATGTGTCACGCGGTGTTCCTCATTGAGGACATTCATCCATTCTATTCTGACCGAGTTTTCGTAGGAATTTTGGGAAGCAGTAGAATGAGCATCTCTGCAGAGATTGCTCTCAGAATGTTAGAGGACGCTTGCCACATCCACGACATGGGAGCATCAACTCTGATGTTTTGGGCACGTGGCTCAACTCTTATTGGTTGACCCCGCCTTCCAAGTTTCTCTGTGCTGCATCGTACGTACGTCGCTGTTTGTCTCGGCAGATGCGGTTCCCTCCTTTGCAGAGATCGGACGGGCCGTGGAGCACGTGGTGGCCGAGGGAAAGGGCATGGACAGGGAGGGGCGTGCGTGGGACGACGTTCTCATCTCGCACGAGCACAGCCACATCCTCTCGTGCTGCTGGCTCACGCTCAAGGTCCCCCCCTCCCCCCCCCGCCCGCTCTTTGTCGTTGCTCGTGCCTCTGTGGGGGGAACTACGAGCGGTGTTGTTTACGCGCCAGTCTGGCGGTGATCGACACAACATGCAGTTCTGTTGCTGTTGAGGACTTGCAGCCTACAAAACCGTCCACGTTGATCAAAACCTGGTGACATAGAAACGGGGATAATTAAGAAGCCTTTTCGGCCACGGCGATCGCATCACGTGCCGCGTGCATGCATTGATCCCTCCCCCCGTGTGACGTCAATACGTGCGACATCGCGAGATGCCAACAGGACGCACGACGTCGTCCAACGACGCCGCACGCCGCTCATCCACGAGAGCGGGCCCGGCGCGGATGCCCCAGGTTGCCCGGCAGGGCCGAGCCGTCGGTAACTCCGATCCGCGCGCGTGCCCACGCCCGATTTCCCCGAACAACCCCGCGTAGGAAATTGGCCACCTGATGGGCGGCCTCGGCGAGACCGTGCTGCTGCTGTCGGCGCGGGATCAGAGGGCGGCCGGAGCCGGGACGCCGTTTTTCGCTCTTGTGCAGACCATCACGGACGTGCTGAAGCTCATCCTCACCTGCTGCAGACACAAGGTGCCAGTCGCCCGTGCACGTGAGAATGTGTTGTCTAGGCCGCACTGGGTTTGAGCATCACGATTTTCTTGCGTTATGGGCTCACTGAGCAGTCGCGTTGTGATGATGTTTAAGTGTGTGTGTGTGTGTGCGTGCTCGTCTTGTGTGTGGAGAAGAGGTTCAATCTTGAAGGTGTCCTGTCGTTCACACCCGGTGATTCGAACATTTCGCTGCACGCGCTGGGAGATTCGTCTTCAATTCATTTCCTAAAGAAGCTCCCGGCACGTGGAGCGAAACGTCGGACAACGCGCGGTACAACCCGAAAACACGTTGAAGAGTGACTCTTATCACCCGTGGCCTCTTCACCTTCCCAGAGGATGCCATGACTGGTTGATCCAGTATCGCTGTGGACCAAGGGCTTTGAGATTAGTTCTTCGGCCATGGTGACCGTTAGACCAATACAGATTTATTGGACTGGTAATAAAATTAAACCATTCGACAATTGTGGTAATGTTAAATTGGTGTTGGCCAATCTCCCAAGGTTTAAATCTGGTAATCTCAGGTAATTATGAGACCCTTTGGGTTGCCCATGTTCAAACACATCTACCTGTCAGCTTGACAGTTGCTTTATCAGTGTGCAGTGATCCAAGTATGCCTTGGAGATACTTCTTTTCTTGCCATGTAATTGTGACTTCTCTTTGTAATCGTTGTCACGGCTCTGTTGGTCGATGAATGTCTCTTGTCTTTATACCATCAGGGGACAAATGATCAATAGCGGTTCTCTCAATGTGCAGTTGTGCAAGGGCACTGCCATCACTGGTGATGTGAGACATCCGCCATCTGGTGGCAAAATCTGGAAAATAAATATTGTGCATGAGCATCAGGATCTTACCCAATTTAGGACATAATTCTTAATTAAAATTGCATCGAAAGAGGTTACATACATATTACGTCTGATTTACTCTATTGAAACACCCTCCGTGTAACAAAGTTCCTGGAAAAGTGCTTTGTAAGTAAACATTACATTGGGATGTATAGGTGGTAATCGGTGGCGTGCATTAGCACGTACACGTACGTGAGTGGCGACGCGCCCCGTTTAACCACGGCCTCACACACCCCATTCCACTGGCACATCCGAGCCAGCACGGAGGCCATCACGGCATGGGTGGTTTTCCATTACTCTTTTTCCGTGCCAAGCAGTGTGTGTGAGCGCGTCATAGCAGTTTGTGTGCGCGCGTGCAAGTGTGTGTGTGTGTGTGTTTCACCGCGTCATCTACACACAACTCGACTCGTTTATTGCTTGTGACAGAGCCACGGTGGACAGATGTTAACTACCTTGCATGGTACGCAGGAGGTGCGTGGGTTCAATCCCGACCCTGACGCCTGTTGCTGTATATTTGGAGTTTGCGTGTCTCTCTCCCCGTGGTCGTGTGGATTTTTCTCCGCGTCCTCCGGTTTTTTCCCTCCACATTGAGAATCAACATCACCACCACGCGTTTAGAGTATTTGAATGCAATACATTTACACGCGACAAGCCACTTCGTTAAGCTGTCATTTGTGGCCAGGTCGCTTCTGAAAAAGAGCTGCATAGCTCAGTGGGCCTTACCTGCTAAAATAAAAAAAAGAGTTTAGTTTAGTAGCACGGCTCGGCTGCTGCGGTGGAAAAACAACCGGGCGCCTCCCAAACCGTGCCGGTGCCAGCCCGGCAAGCCCCGGCGTGGCTCCGTCGTGCCCAGCTGAAAGGAAGTGTGTTAATGTCTGTCCGGCTGATAGGAAGTGTGTTGATGTCTGTCCGGCTGAAAGGAAGTGTGTTAATGTCTGTCCGGCTGATAGGAAGTGTGTTAATGTCTGTACTGCTGATAGGAAGTGTGTTGATGTCTGTCCGGCTGATAGGAAGTGTGTTAGTGTCTGTACTGCTGATAGGAAGTGTGTTAATGTCTGTCTGGCTGATAGGAAGTGTGTTGATGTCTGTCCGGCTGATAGGAAGTGTGTTAATGTCTGTCCGACTGATAGGAAGTGTGTTAATGTCTGTCCGGCTGATAGGAAGTGTGTTAATGTCTGTGCGGCTGATAGGAAGTGTGTTGATGTCTGTCCAGCTGATAGGAAGTGTGTTGATGTCTGTCCAGCTGATAGGAAGTGTGTTAATGTCTGTCCGGCTGATAGGAAGTGTGTTAATGTCTGTCCGGCTGAAAGGAAGTGTGTTAATGTCTGTCCGGCTGATAGGAAGTGTGTTAATGTCTGTCTGGCTGATAGGAAGTGTGTTAATGTCTGTCCGGCTGATCGGAAGTGTGTTAATGTCTGTCTGATATGAAGTGTGTTAATGTCTGTCCGGCTGATAGGAAGTGTGTTAATGTCTGTCCGGCTGATAGGAAGTGTGTTAATGTCTGTCCGGCTGATAGGAAGTGTGTTAATGTCTGTCCGGCTGATAGGAAGTGTGTTAATGTCTGTCTGATAGGAAGTGTGTTAATGTCTGTCCGGCTGAAAGGAAGTGTGTTAATGTCTGTCCAGCTGATAGGAAGTGTGTTAATGTCTGTCCGGCTGATAGGAAGTGTGTTAATGTCTGTCCGGCTGATAGGAAGTGTGTTAATGTCTGTCTGGCTGATAGGAAGTGTGTTGATGTCTGTCCAGCTGATAGGAAGTGTGTTAATCTCTGTCCGGCTGATAGGAAGTGTATTAATGTCTGTCCGGCTGAAAGGAAGTGTGTTGATGTCTGTCCGGCTGAAAGGCTGCCTGTGCTGTTTATCCGTGCAGGGTGCTATAGACGGCTGCAGCCTGGGCTTTGTGAAGCTGTGCAGGGCCCTCAGCAGCCACCCCAGCGCTGCCTTTCAGAACATTCCCTCCATCCTCTTGGAAGAGGTGAGAGTCCATCTGTCACCAAATCTGCCGGTAGCGAAGTCATATTATTACATCTGAAATGTCTAAGTGAGATTTCCCGCTCAAATCATCATCGATACGGTTACCGGTGCTGGGAATTCGACGTTCCCATGGCAGGGGCCAAGCCCGTCCGCGGGACGACTGACGCGCAAGCATTTCTCAGCGGGCCTGCTCTCTCTCTCCCCCCCCCCTCTCTCTCGTGCATTCCGCCACCCTCGCGCACCGCGTGGATTTCTTCGCAGGCGCTGGCATGCGTGGGCACGGGCTCGTCGGTGACGCGCCGCGCCGGCGCGCTGCCGCCCCTGGTGCTGGGCCTCGTGAGCGGGGAGTGCCGCTCGCGCGGCCACTGCCCGCTGCTGCGCGGCGCGCTGGGCACGCTGCTGCGGCTCGCCGCCCGGCCGCTGCCCGCCGCGGTCGACCCGACGCGCGACCTGCCGCAGGTGCGCTTGACGCCGAACGCCGATGGCGTTGGTGCCACCGCCGATGGCGTTGGTGCCACCGCCGATCAAATCGTGTTCGCCAACGTCGTCGTCGTCGTCGTCGTCGTCGTCGCTCGCCCGCACCTCCGATTAGCACGGCTGGCTACGTATGGCGCGAAAGAAGTTCAACGTACGTGCATACGGCGTCGTCGGTATTATTATTATTATCGGCAGCGATCGATCCACTGCTGGACAAAAGCCATCCCAAGCCGAAGCCATCTCTCTGCCGCTGTTATACACTCCGTCAATCCTGACGCGGTTACCCGGCTCGACCACCTGAGTGTCAAATTGTAGTTTGTTGCTCTGCATCTGCCTCAGCCGTACGGAAGACGAAGACTCGCGTACGTTGAGCTTCTTTCGCACCGTTCGTTGTCAACCGTGCCGATCGGAGGTGCCGGATAGGACAATCCAGCTGGTACACGAGCTGCCGATTCTATTGCTGCGTCGCCGAGGCGGATGTTCTCTCGGGCGCGTTCACCCCTGTGGCTGCTGTCCGCATTGTTATTCTTGGCCCGTCGGACGTCATCCCCACTGGTGACCTCTGACTCCCCTGGACAGATTGAATGATGTCGCCAACCCCGCGTAGGGTTCCATCATCCACGTGTTCCCCTTTCAGTCTTCTTGTCTGTGTGTTGAACGTCTTCCGCACCGTACGTAGCCAACCGTGCTATTCGGAGTGCCGCCTCTCCGCATAATTTTCTTTGCTCGCTTTGCAGCTCTTGTAACTTGAACTGAACGAGGAACGGCAACAAACCAAAGTTCCATCGGTGTTTACATTACCGGCTATGATGTATGGATTAGAAACGTGGACATCGCCGGAGAAAGTCGAGAGAAAAAAACTGAAAAAGGGGGCATAGAAACACGGAGAGGCGCACTCTCCGTGTTTCACTGAGTACGCGTAGTCTAGAAACACGGACATTGACGATCCAAACAACTGCGTGCGTGTGAACGTCCGCTAAGGCGCCACGCGGATCCTCCGTGTCGCTCTCTAGGTGCACGCACTGCACATCCTCCAGGCGCTGTTCCGGGACTCCTCGCTGGGAGCCGCCATGATGGAGTTTGCTGGCGGCGCCGCCCTCCTCGCCATCCGCAGCCTCAGCTCCCCCAGCTGGGCCCTGCGCAATGGCGCCATTCAGCTGTTTGGTAAGGACTCACGGATTTACGACAAAATCGCGACTCGTTGTCCTCCCGGTTGTCACCTGGCGGGACGAGGAGCCCTTTCGGATCTCTCTCGCAGCCCCTTCGTTTTGGAGAACGGCCCGCGGAAGTGGATGTCGCAGAGCCGCCTCTGAGAGCCGTTCTTCACGGCGAGCGATTGTCGAGAGTGGGGGTGAGGTGTCTTCTCCTCGCTGTTGGGCACAGTCGCTATACGCCAGCCTCACGTTGGGCACAGTCACTACCTGACAGCCTCACGTTGGGCACAGTCACTGTCTGACAGCCTCACGTTGGGCACAGTCACTGTCTGACAGCCTCACGTTGGGCACAGTCACTGTCTGGCTGTCTGGCTGCCTCGGTAGGACTCAGCCCAGTATCTTCGCGTGCCGTGCTGCCAAATTCACCGTAGGTATCTTGATCTGACTTGAATTCAGAGTGGACCAAAATCAAAATAATGAAATAAAGCAGTGATACATCAAATTCAACATAGCAGTGTGCCTGAACAGGAATGCTTTAATTCGTGTGATTTTGCCTGCTATTACACACGGATGAGAAACATGGACATTGATGAAAAAGACGGAACTAAAAGCGATTCCGCTGCTGCTTGGACAAAGGCAGCGGAGGGGATTTAAGAAACTCGCCCCATTGTTTCGTCTGCCGCACCGGGAGTAGGGAGTTGAACCGGCAAGCTCTGGTTTGCAAGTCCAGCGTGCTCACCGTTGCATCATGATCACGCCCGCGTCCGTTTTGAGAAGCTAGACGATTGTTCGGTAAAGTAAATAGACGTGAGCGTGTCATTGCCACTTAGGCAATTGCCGCCAACTCCGAGCACGCCCGTTGTGCCAGGCCTTCCCCGGGCGGGCATCTGCACATCCGCCACCGTCGCAACACGGTGGCGGCAGCATCTCTAAATCACCTGCCAGTCGATTCTCTCTCGCCCCGCTCTCGCCCGCGCGTGCGCCCAGGGACCCTGGTCGGTCGCATGCTCGGTCAGATGCGGACGCACGACGAGCACTCTCCGCAGAACGCCGTGACGGCCGGCGAGTTCCTCCGGCACTACCCCGAGCTGCCCGACTTCCTCCTGAGCGAGCTGCGCGCGGCCGCCGCGCCGCTCCTCGGGGGTCGCGACCTCGAGCTCCTCGTCGCCGTCGCCGCGGCCTCGGGCGCTCGTCCCCCGGCGGAGGCGCTCGCCCCCGAAGGCCGAGCGCCGGCCGGGAGCGGCGCCGCGGAGGGCGCCGCCGGGGTCGAGGGTCGCGGGCCGTGGGAGGGGAGCCGTCCGAGTGGGCGCCTCCATCTCTCCCCGTCTCTTCATCCCGTCCTCACCCTCCTCTCCAAACTCCAGCCAGGTGGCGAGGACTCGCACAGGTAACTGCAATCGCGTTCGGTGCGTGCGCATCGGCCTGCTGATGTTCCGATGCGGTTGATGTCAAAGCCAGGAGGTGCAATAACGTCGTGGAATAAAATAATAAAATGCATGATGGCCAGAATCATAGGCAGAGGAGATGAGAGACCAGGTGATTAAACTTTTTTTTATATCTAGCATCTCATGTTTGTAAATTGAATCAGAAATTTCAACTATTAATTATCCACTTGTTATGAAATTGTTATTTTTCTACGCTGAGATGTATTTGTTTATGAATCCTCCGTGTAAATTTTTGCCGCAGCTTGTTGTCCGAGTTCGTGGCTCCGGTCGTGGCGCTGGCGAGCAACCCCATCCACGACGTGCGGGTCCTGGCTGCCAAGACGCTGGTCGTCATGGTGACGAGGTCGCGGCGCGCGCCGATGCTGCTCGCCCTCGCCACGGCTCTGCCGGAGCGGTGGTGCCCCCTGGCCGTGCCGCAGAACGCGCTGCACGGGCGCTTGCTGCAGATGCTCGCCCTGCTCAAGTGTCTGCTCAAAGAACGGGGAGGGTGAGCGTGAAAACGAACAAGAGCTTCTCCGAGCTCATCGGATTCATCCAGTCTAAATAAAGATTCTGATTAAGAATGAAGGACCTTGCACGGTACTTGTAATCAACGCAAGCAAGCACTGAGGGTAACTGCCAGGGCGAAGGACGATGAAGGAGGAGGAAGATGCGTAGCAGACCAACGCTGTCATCTACAGGAGGAAAAATATAAATCCAACAAATATATAAAACCACTGAACGTAATTACTGTAACATTAATATATGCAAAAAGGACATCAAATAAATGTATGTTAAATAGGGATGAATCATCAAACTATTATTTTTAACTGAAGGTAAAATGTAAGATAAATTATGCCTAAGGAATTTACTGGAAGCGTGCATAAGTGAATATGCTTATGATTCATATTTGGTTTCTATCGGGTGAGCCTGAGGAGGTATCCTGCCAATTGCGGCTCTTTAGCCTCCGCCCCCCGACGCAGCCAAACAAATCTCGTTGTCACGTGATGGACAAATGCTCCAATTCATTAAGTTTTTGGCAAACTGTCGACATGTTTAAAATCATCAACATTTTGCTTGTTATTCAATGAGCTGGTTTGCCAAATAACGGAATCGGATTATTGCATGTGTGCCCACGTGGTAACCGGAGGTAACCGCGTGGTGTCCTGGCCTAGCAGTAGCACGATTGCCGCTCATTGAACATGTTCGCGGTTCGAATCTGGCAGGCCGTCCTGGTTATTACTGCGGGTGTTTTAATTGGACATATTTGATATTGTCCTCGCTGTCCGTCTTGTCAGATGCCGACCACTCCATCTCCGTTAACCAGTGTGTTGAGGTACTTCCATTGATGGCTGAGCAAATTGACATCAATCGCAATCATCGCCCTTTAATGCGAAAGCTTGAAACACGGCGATACTTTCCTGAATAAGCAAGCATAATCGTAAGAACAGATGCGGTGCGAGTCACTTCTCGGGTGTAAATCACCATCATCATCATTCGAGTGTCGTTGCGTTCCAAGGGTCGACCTCTGTGCCCTTTGTCAGCGCCCTGGAGCCGCCGGTGCTGCACTCGCTGGTGGCCGCGCTGGCTTCGCGTTGCTGGCTGCTGGGCGAGGCGCGCGTGTGCCCGCTGAGTCGAGCGCTCGCCGTGAGGTTGCTGGCGGCGCTGGCGCGGGCCCACGGCTCCCACCCGGGCGTTGCGCGGCTGGCCGCATCGCTCCACGCCATCGCCAAGGACGAGTTCCTCCTCCTCCACCAGCCGGCGGCGGCGGCGGCGGCGGTTCGCGAGGTGCGTCTTGTGGCGACGGGCGACCGGGTAGCACCAAAGGCTTCACTTCGGCATTTGCTGGAACGCCGCTACTGTCGGCTCGGAGTAACCCTAAGCGTATCGTCAGTCATGTATCCAAATAATATAGTGTTCTAAGGTATAAACTATTTTTATTTTACCAGGGAAGGCCCACTGAGCTATATAGTTATTTTTCAGAAGCGACCTGGCCACAAATGATAGCTCAACTTGGTGGCTTATCACGTGGAACTTTCTAGCAGCCAAAAACTCTAAACGCACGTTCCTAAATGTTGGGGGGAAATACCGGAGGACCCGGAGAAAAATCCACACGACCACGGCGAGAGTAAAACACGCAAATTCCAAATATACAGCAGCAGGCGTCAGGGTCGGGATCAGACCCACGACCTCCTGCATACCGGGCGAGGTAGTTAACATCTCGCCACCGTGGCCGAGTTGTTGACACGTGCACTGCGCGTCCTCGATCTCCGTGTCGGTGTCGGTGTCGTACGCAGATCGGCGTCGCCGCGCTGCGGGGCGAGCTGGCGGCCTTCGTCCTGACGCTCGCGCTGGGCGCCCCGGCCGGGCCGTGCGACGCGCCCACCGTGCTGCGCCTGCTCCGCTGCCCCGCCGTTGACCTGCGCAGGCGGAGCCGCGAGTGGCTCGCCGAGCGCGGCCGGGGAAGCCGCCGCGCCGACGCCGCCGCGCGCATCATGCTGGTGAGCGTCCGCCCGTGCGCCGGTCGTTGCGTCCCTGCGGAGCATCCTGCGGCGCAGGCCAGCGTCGTGTCTACTTATCCTCCTCCTCCTTCTCGAGCTGCCTTTCGACTTGTCTCAGAGACGATGGGCCCAATTGGATCTCTCGCCGCCTCTCTCCGCCTCGCGGCTTGTCTCTGTCCGTAGCGTTACGTAGAGACGCAGACATCATCACCGGCTGACACGCGTGGACTGTGCGCGTATATTCACTTTGTAAACAAATGTTTGACTTTTTAACTCCAAGCATTGTAAAAAAACACGGATTCATTGATGAAAATCGATTCTGACACTCACGATACATACAAAAGTAATGCACGTCAGAACACATTTTTTAGGTTTTACTCAAATGGCTTGCGCATGCTATGCTCGCAATATATTTAGCTTAATGGAGCGGGCATAACTGTGCAAACAAGACAGAGCGAGCAAGAAAGAGTACAGCCAAGACAACAGCAACAAGACAGTAAACTTATTATTGACTTGCAACCTGGAGTTGTGACGATGTATTGAATCACGGGAGGGAAGGAAGAAGAATTGCATGTCAGCAGTGAATGTGGACATGGAGTTCGAAGCATAGGAAGAGAGCCCTTTGAACACCCGAGCCTCATCTTTCATCTCCGCTGTCCACTCGTCCTCTTCCAGCCCATCATTGAGATACAATTCGCTGGCCTCGTATTTGAAAGACAGTGGATGGAATCCATACGTTCAGTGTAGTCGTGTTTGGAAAGCACTTGTCAAATTTAATAATTCTACCTTCCCATCCGCTATTCCTATTCTGCCTTCATCACGGCTAGTGCTGGAAACCTTAATCACTATTCCATACCCTCCTGGATTTACCAGTACCACATCACAGGAATTTGCCCTCCCAATGTCTTTCAACGTGGTTGGGAAAATCTGAATCGACATTCCAGTCTCTTGGCCTGTTCCACCTGCTGCCTGTCCTACCCATGTCTGCTCCCATTATTTCCTCGAATTGCATTGCTTTTGTAATCCCCACCTTAAAAACAGGGAGTCTCGTACCCCGAATCTATCATCACCAGCCGGGTGGCTCAGCGGCAGAGCGAGCGGCTCGCAATCACAAGCATTCGAGCCGCTTGGGGGTAGGCTCTGCCCACCATCCCTACAGGGTTGATAAAAATCACGAGTATCACATTTTGGGGATGTAACACCCTGGTTATTCTATGGAGAGACTCTGGCTTTTTATTTGATTACAGACGTCATCACATTCGAGATCCATCACAGCTTTTGAGATAGCTTACGTCTCTTTTAATTCATTCCTAATTATATGAAAACTACTGCCATCATTTCTGTCCATAAAATGGCAAGCGCTTGCTCTATATACTGCTCACACACTCCCACTCTTTCTATAACCTCTCCTCATTTTATTAAATCCTAGACAGAGTCCCCGGTTCCCATTTATCAAATAAGTAAGTAATAACATCTGATGTTGCGCACTCTTATGGGTCCAGTCCATCACGAATGCACATTTTTGGTCTGCATGGCTCCAGTCTGCTCTGGTTTGTGCTCTGGCCAGCCCACTGAGACACTGTGAAGTCACCGCTGGTTTGAGCTCTGGTCAGCCCATTGAGACACTGTGAAGTCACCGCTGGTTTGAGCTCTGGTCTGCCCACTGAGACACTGTGAAGTCACCGCTGGTTTGAGCTCTGGTCAGCCCATTGAGACACTGTGAAGTCACCGCTGGTTTGAGCTCTGGTCTGCCCACTGAGACACTGTGAAGTCACCGCTGGTTTGAGCTCTGGCCAGCCCACTGAGACACTGTGAATTCACCGCTGGTTTGAGCTCTGGTCAGCCCATTGAGACACTGTGAAGTCACCGCTGGTTTGTGCTCTGGCCAGCCCACTGAGACACTGTGAAGTCACCGCTGGTTTCGTGACTGCAGACGAATAACAAGATCTCGCATTGGTTTGCCTTAATATTTCCTTCATCGCATCATCATATGGTCTGCTCCTCCTCCCCCCATTGCCCTTCTCTCCAGCAAGCAAAGCTCAGCCCTCGATCTGTCCAGCAGCCAGGCCCTGCCTGGTAATAATCGGTCACTCTTCTGCTATCTCGCGCTGCTGCCCAGGCCCATCCACAATGCTTACTCCCTCCCCCTGTTAAATTCCAAGCCCAAGATGTCTTGCCCTTTATCCATAATCATTTCCCAATGTTAAACCGCTCCCGCTTTGTGTAGTAAGCTTTATTGACTGTACTGTACAAAATCCCTCTGCTTTACATTACTCCATTACAACCCTGCTCTATATGCTCCTTCGCGGTGATTCCATCCTCCCCCTCCTCCTCCTCCGCAGCAGCAGCTTCCCTCTCCGACAATGCAGCATCTTGAGGTACAATGCTGGTCACATGCTCTGACAAGCCCACATTGTATTTTTGCATCATCTGCCCTTCAAAATATCACTGTCGTGTGAATATTTAATAATATATAATCACGGCCCATGAAATGCATTGGGAGATTTGCTACAGTACCTTTTCCGAGGCTGATCCTGTCTAAATAGTAAGTAGCACCTTAGTCTTTAGGGGATTCTGAAATTGAGCAAAGATGTTGTGCTCCTCGCCGGATTCTGGCAGCAGAGTGGGGATATATTTGCTGAAAAAACCCCAATTTTTTTACACAGGCTTTGGCACATTTGCCAAAGCGTCGGGTGTTCCAGAGCCAGCTTAGTAACTACGAGTGGACCAACGCCGGTGATTGGCGCGTGTACCCGGTGTAAATAAGCTGTCGAGTACAACACAAACAACACAGGGCCAGGAGGTGAAGGCTCGGAGAACGTGGCTTAAGGTTGGTGAACATTGTCGTTCACTCGGCGCTCTCGGCTTGTTCACGTCCGCTTCACACAAAGTGGCTGCGCAATAGCTTTGGGTTTGCCGCCACTTTTGCTTCTTTTAATAAAGTTTAGCAGTGCGAGTGCCAGTTGAGCAACCAATGTTGTACGGGGCCTGTGACTGGGAGAAAAGGGCTACGTTTTGGCAAGGAAGTACAATGATCAGCGGTTGTGGTATAAAGTTATATATTTTTCACCAATCTCTTCCCTTTTCCACTGTTGAGACAGCTCACACAGAAGCAACTTAAGGATGCATAGCCTGTGTGCATAATCTAGCTTGAAATCATTTAAACTGTCGGAGGACTGGGTATAAAAAAAGCAATGTCCGAAAAAGCATGCTTTCTTGAGACATGTGGGCAGGCATTGCTGTGGGATTTCAGGTCTTGCTGAAATAATGCAATTAACAAAACGCTCTGATCCCAATTAAATAATTTGGATCACATATTTTCACTTTGCGTGCCTTTTCCATAGCAGACAGAAGTTGATGGTGGGGGGGGGGGGGGGGGGTTAACGGTAAGTTAGGAAATCACTCGCAAAAGATTACAACAGACCGAGATGAGATGTGATAGGCCAATAAAAAAAATATGTCGTTAATTTTCCACAAATAATTCAGAGCCAAAAAAATTCAGGGGATTGATGAGTGGAGAAAGGGCTTGTGGCTGGCAGTGCAAGCGCATGCTTCATACTCGAAAAACCACGCAAGGAGGTGGTGGCGTACATAACAAAAAACAGCCACACGGAGTTTTGGCTTCTGCTGTTGTATTAAAGGGGTTTAAGCATTATATTTAGAGGCTTTGTATAAACAGCCCTACTCCCCTCCCCTTGCGACAATGTATTTTTTTTTCCCAAAGAGTGGTTGCAACAAAACATCTCCAACCCAGATGTAAGAGAGAAAAAGAGAGAGAGAGAGGGAAAAGAACCGAAAAAAGAGAGAGAAGCTGGAATTCATTTGGGTGTTCATTATTCCTGCGTGGAATGCATTCCTCGCAACATCTGAGCTGGCATATTAAATACGTCGCTGAAATTCTAGCGATCTTAATCTAATACAAGGAGCTTTTTAAAGATTAATTGGCTGCAGTTTTGAGTAATAAGCTCTGCCTGTGGGCAAGTTTGGCCATTTCAATGGTGCAGTCACCCCACCAACTCCTTGCCGGCTACCCATCCCATCACACTGCCCCTTCCCGGACCCCTCTTCCACCTCCTTGCCTCGACTAAGGAAAACCATCTGAAACTAATGCACGACTGCCATGCTTTTCCATGCCGTGTGCCAGCGCATATTCAAACTGCTAGGTAGAAACAATTGACTAACAAAAAAAATAACGTCTCAACAATTTTTTTTCTCTCCCGAATTTCCTGTTACTCCGACTGCCAAGACCCAATGTACGTGTGCCGAGCCCAGAATCTGAGTTTCATTATTTAACAAGCGAGACTCTGTTACCATCTCGAGCAGGGCCCTCTGCTTCCGCGTCGGACCCAGTGTGCCTGCCCAGACCCCCAGCAGCCACTTGTGGCTCTCGGCAGCAACGTGCCTCTACAATCAGTGCCCACTGCAGAGCGTTTTAACTGTGGATTTTAATCAGAATCAGAATCTCTATTGCATACCGGAGGACTCCGATGAACAATAAAAATCTATTTTTTCACAGATGTCCAGTCGGACAGATAGAGCGCCCTTTACACCGCGGTGTCTCAAAGGGCACCCCCAGTGGCAAGCTGTCCCTGTGTGGCGCAAGGTGACTCTCAGCACCTGCCCTGCAAATGGAGATCCGTCTGCTAGTAGGGTGCGATCATTGCTATGTGTAAGCCCAAATGAGTAATTGGAGGGTTATTTTTCGAATTTGACAAATGTGGACCGTGACGCTGGTACGCAATGGCCTGCTTGTTTCTGCATCAGGGAATCTTGGTCAGCCATCCGAGCCCTATCCAGGCTCAACCCTCCGAGATCGGGCGAGATTGCGCTCGATTACGGCTGTCGTGCGCAGTCACGGTGAACGTGATTACACCTCCGATGAGCACGGTTGGCTACGTACGGTGCGGAAGACGTTCAACATACGTACATACATGACGTGTGGGGACGCATGTAGTGCGTATGCATGTGTGTGAGCAAGTCGATGATGTTTTGCATTTTAA